GGGCAGAGGCAAAGAGGAAATATTCAGCTTGTAAAGGTCACTAAGTGATCAGAGTAAGGGAATTCGTGGAAGACTTATTGCAAGGATTAAATACTTATTATCCAGTCAGATAAACTATTCAAATGTCTTACTTACTAAAGCTGAACAACCTTGCTCAAGCTTGCTTAATCACAAGCTTTTCCTAACATACAAATATAAAGTATTGTTGTAGCTGAAAGAAGGACTGAGAAAAGTAATCAGTGTTTTTAATATTGCAGTTGCTTAAATGATACTCTTCTAATTGCATTCCTCTCAGCTTGAATCCCATGCTTTGGAAGGAACTTTGGGGAGAACTGAGCAAAGAGTAAATTGCGACAGTTCAGTTTTGGAGATGTGCAATAATCCTGTATATTTGCAGCTGGTAATGCACAAGATGCCAACAGCTTTAGAGACCTGCTAGTGACCATTTTAGCAGTTATGCTCTATGAAATGCCACAATCTATACACTTGTTTAGATAAATCTAGGTAATGGATACCCAGAGGGTCAAAACAATTTCTGACCCTCTGGATGGTTAAAGACTCTCAGCAGTACACTCTAACATGCCATCATTATTTTAATTTCTTACAATGACTTAAGCAAAAAGAAAAAGGGATTTTTTATTTTTTTTTCCCAGAGAACAGTTTCTCTTTTGTAACTATATTTGCTTTTAGTCAAGAAACCATAATTTTTATACTGTAAAGGCAGAAACAATAATCTCTATGGCTTCTGACATAACCTATTTGGAATTCAGAACGACAAGGAAGGCAATTAACTGACATTTTTCTACATAATAATATAAGTTAGGGCTCTAAGGCTTTGTTTACACTAGGGAAATTTAGACAAGTTTCTCAGTGTTGCTGACACTGACTTGGCCAAGGCACTGTTAGGAATGTGGAAGGTCTAATGCAGACAAATTCACCAGCCACAAAAATTGCTATCAGCAATTAAGGTTTTCTTGGAGCAGAATGGGAATATCATTCACGGGTATGAATATTTCTACAAAAACAATCCAAGAACTCATGAGTAAGATTCATTCCATCTTCAAAAAAAATTTTGAATGTGCCTATTGTTTAACATAAAATAGTCCAAAGTAATGTCACCATGCTTCCTTAATTCTTTTACTTTGTTAAAGCCTCCATTTCTTTAAAAGATATTTTTACTTTGAATAATCTACTCTTGAAATACTTCTTAAAATTAAGAATCATTTGACATGTTCCTTTTGAATAAAACAAAGAAGTTGAAAGCCTGAGTTATTTTCTGAGAATGTAATTTTTTCATAAGCATTTCTGTAGAATAAGCCCTAAAAGACACTTTATGACTTCCTCACAAGATGGATCAGATTTTTTGGGGCCTACCACCACACCACTCAATATTTAACAGCTACTCCTCCACCTGAACAGTGCTTTTAAACTGAACTTTTTCTGTTTAAAAGCTAAATCATTAAAACACTGCTGGAAGGAATATGGTTACAAATGAGGATATTGGCAGAAATCCAATGTTATTGGGAAGGCAGGATATTCACACTAGTCTGCTGCCAGTGGTGATTAATTAAAAGATGTTGGATACCTGGAGCCCGAATGGTTCACTCAATATGATTCCCATTGCAGGAATGACCTGCTTTTGCTGACAAGATATTTATGCAACCAAAAGAAGAAAAGGCAAATGATGATAGCAAAGCTCAAAGACACAAAGATATAAATGTTCATGTTTTATTTACAGTCCCAGCTTTTAGTCTGGTGGTTTACATATCAGGAGAGGTGATTTCTGTCTCCACAGTACAGTTTATCAAGAAACCTGCACAAATTAGATGGTAGAACTGCAGAGATCTGAGGCTAAAACCCCTGTGACTATGGAGCAACAGAGAAGTAATGGAAGAGCAAATGAATGTGGAGAATGTGAAAGATGACAATGGAAAAGATGGAGGAATGATGAAAATGCTAAATGGTGAAAGAAAAAGCAACAACCTCCAATCCTTGTTTATGTATTGTTGTAACAGATTTGGTTTGCAGTATCAATTCCTTCAATTTCCTTGCAAACAGTGTAGAACTTACCCATTATGAAAGACATCTTCCCACAAGCATGAAGGATTTCAAATTATTTGCAATTTTTAGATTTGTTTGAATTAGTTTGAATACTAAATTACACATGGAAACACCCTCAGCAAAGTCCACATCCTATGATATGCAAGAGAGAGGTAAATCTTTTCTGTCAGCCACACATCCTGCTGATACCTTCTCTCCAGACACTGGATAAGCATCATTTCATTGTGTACTAAGTAACTATTGTATTTCCAATTAATGTATTTTCACAAACAACACAAAATTAGATTCTGAAATCTTTCTATGTAACTGGAAAACTCAGTATTAATAAAAACCCATCTTTTAGAGAAGCAAGCCTGTAAAATCATCAGATGACACTGAAATCAAACTAGAATTGAGAAAAACAACTGAAATCTTATAGACTGTGTGCTAAGAAGAAGGCAGCAGGTGCCATAGGAACAGAGTCCTGAATTTCCTCTCTAAAATAATCTGCGATGATCTACAAAACCACTGTGTAGTTCTAATTTATAATATAAGCTGATAATATGAACCACATATTTGTGTATGTTGCCATCCTTAGGTATCAGGACATCCCATCTGCCCTACCTCCCCAGCTACATGCAAAAAAAAATGCACATCAGCAGTGTCATAGTGGTTTTTTGGGTCAGAGAACCTGCGTTTCTGGCAATCAGGCTGATGATGAACACATACAACTGAGCTACACAAAGATTTGAAATTCAAGTAACAAGAACCAAAGATCATATTTGTGGGAATCCATACTGCTTTACATACCAAGCCCTTTATAAAGTCTCTGCATTTTCAGCTGTTTAACTAACTTGAAATAAAAATCCAACAAACTCAAAATAGGACTCTGCAGTCTGTGAAATGAGCAACTGAAAATGGTTCATCAGTTAGAACCAAACCCAGACTATGTGAAACAGATATCTTTTGCTTATTTTGTTATGCTTTGTCAATTATGTATTGATTTAATTAATATGATCTTAGCTTCTTTTTTCAAATCTTTGGAAGTGACTTGAATAGGCACTAAATATGTGTGGTCTTTAAACATCAGGTAAACAGGATAACTTCAGTTGTACGTAATATGTTCTTGAGTTCAAGGAAATATGTTAAATACAGCACATTGGTAAGGAGTTCACAGCTGCACATTCACTCCCCTGCTGTAGATAATCTTGTTTCTAGAACAAAAACGCAATTGCTACACTACTTCGACTATTTTACCTTGATTTAAATTTTCTCTCATGGAGGCAAATAGAAAATGCTTAAATTTGAGTTAGTATATTATATTTTGGATTAAACTTACACAGATTAACTTGTATTCCCACAAAGATGAGTTCATATTGTAGACATGGTTTTCTATTTTATTTTATTAATCTTGTTTTTTAAAGACAAGTCCTTCCTCAAAATAGTCTCAATATGAAATAGGTAAAATATTATATCAAGAAAAGAAAGAAACTCCTCTAAGGCTGTGCTGGAAGAAAATGAATTGTTTACCTTAAAAAGTTATATTTTTAACTATGCCATGACTAGTTTGATATCTGTTACGTAATTCATTAAAAACCTTCCTTTTCTCTCCTTTAAAGAATACCAGCCACAGAGACCTTACTGTCCTTTGGTTTGCATGAGGATTACAGAGAGGAAGGTCTTGATAAAACCTGTCAGCACATGTGCACTGAAGTCCCAGAGGGCTAACACACACTTCTTCACCCCAAGCCTCATCTTTGACAGGGAGAAAGGATGACACAAGGCTTCACCCACTCTGATGTTTTGCTTATCCTTCTTAGCATCCTGTGTAGGTGTCTTGGGACCATCCCAAACTGATAGGACTTGAAGACTTCCAGACTGAGGCCAAGAGACTGCTCTCCTGCCTTGCAACTAGTAGAAGGCACTTGAGAGAAAACTGCTCTTTTAATTAAGGCTCTGGGTGAACTCAGGTGAACTGTACTCAATTCCTGGCTTTGCAATGGATTTTCTTCACGAACCCAGGCAAGTACCTGTGCCTTGCTACAAAACCTCCTGCCTGAGACAGAAGTGTTTTGAGGCAGTATGTAAACGTTTGAGAGATGCTAGGACCCTGCTTTCATGGGCACACAGTGTGGGAAGCGGGACAGAGCTCAGGATGATGTCTGGGAGTAGAGCTGTGTATCGCACCAATGAGCTGCAGTTTCTATCTTCCTGCACATCATCTTTTACACCCTGTGCAATCACTTCATATGTTTAGTATTTCTGCTGCTAGTTTTACATGTCTATGTGCACAAAATTTGTCCCTGACATTATAGAAGATAAACATCACAGGTTTTTTTATTGACCAGAGACATCTACATGTTTTCCATTACTGTTATGCCATGCAGGTTGATGAACTGACATAATAAAGCAAGTAGAAATGGAGAAATACAGAAGAAAACAAGGGGACAAGATGACTCAGCCAAACCTGCAGCCCTGCAGACTTGTAAATATTCTATCATTTTCAAAATCTCTGTGAGAGAACAGAGTTCTCTGGCTATCATTTCAGAATTTTAACTTGAACATAGTAGTTGGCAGGGAGTACTCAACAAACTGAAGCTATGTGTATGATGTTGAAACATATCACACAGACATTATCATGCAGATGCAGGAAGAAAAAAACACCTACGTTTTGACAGGGAAACTCAAACCTTTAGGTAGTACACAGAAAAGCACACTAAACAATGATGGGTAAGTACTTGTCAAATGAAGGTGCTTCTCGTGGTAGAATGAGGCTACCATTCCTAATTGGCAAATATTATCCAGCTTTAATTGATCAACCTTAAGAGAAACGATTATATAAAATAATGGCATAGAAAAGTTAAAGCAAATAATACCCACAGACTGTACAAAAGTTTTTTTGGTAATCATATGCTGCTGGCAATTCATCAGCTGTAACAAGGTAGAGCAAAAGAACTGACCTCCCGAGGACAGATGATTCTCTTGGGACGTGGTGCCTCTTGTTGCAATTGATACACTGTCAAACACAAAAATGTACAGACCATTAGAAGATGGCAACATACACAAACTTTCATTCAGATGAGTCTTTTTAGCCAGAGGCCGCAGAGAAAAATGCAAATGTAAAGACAATGACAGCAAAATGAGGTATTTCAGTGTGTCTAAGTCATTTATATGAAAATCGGTTGTTGACTGGCAAACTCACTCAAGTGATCAATGCTTTAACTGTTAGAAGTACTATCCCTTTGTACTGGCTTTTACATTTCTGTACCAGGGAAGACTAGCCAGAAAAACTTATTAGGTCTGTCTCAGGATAAAATCCCACTTTTGCATATAAAATGCTGTAACAAGAACAGATAGTTTATCAGTAAAACCAGCAGTTTTTTGGATATGACAAGAAAAAGTTCAATACCTTTGAATTGGTTCATCACAGCCTCATAACTTATTTCAAGATTTGATGGCAATTACTGAGAAGCAAGCAAACATTCCTTTCAGAGCAATTATGCCCTTATTCAAATGGCCCTGGATCAATTTTGCAAATCTTCTGAGGGCTGCAGGAGAGAGACCTGAGGCGAGGGGTACTTGCTGCCGTGCCCCCAGACTCTTCACTGCATGTATTTAATGAGATCCTCTCCCTCCCTTCCACTCCAGAGTCGTGAGAATAAGCTGACATGCAATGACAGTAATCAATTCCAGCACAGACAGACTGTCTCTCTGTAGCTCCAGTAAAAATCCCAGAGGTTTGGATTGCCTCCCTCGAGAAAGGCCTTCTGTATGCTGACCTTCTTGTTTTTGGAAAGATCATGTCCATGAATTTTTTTAAAAAAACCTGAGTTTCCAGGACACAATATTAGTTTATTCACAATGTTAGTGAAGCTCAGAAGCACGCCCTGAAAGGTGGCAGATTATGGGAGGAACAGAAGTGTCCCTAGGTTTGATAAACACAGAAGCTCTCTTGCAGAAAGTGAATTGAAAATGTAGGTGTTAACACTCAGCACCTTTTCCCACCTTCTGCACCTTCTCTTTAAATGGGGCTAGAAGCAATGAAATCTGGAAAGTGGGGAAATCCTCAGCTTGTACCCAAGTTTGTCACACAAGCTCAAAGGGATGTGAAAGCTTTGGGGGCTCCTGCTTTCTGCTCATGTCAAAGTGGAAAAACCCATAACCTCTTCTTTAACCAATCAAACCTTCATCCCTGCTTCCTTGGAGAGGCACAGAAAGACAGGTCATCATTTCTTATATTCCCTACCACTTTCAGTGCTGGATGTGATCCAGCTCTAAATTTCTACTCAGGCTTTGGATTTACTCTGCATCATTCAGCACTGTCAGATCTCCTGCTACTTTTGCACAAGATTTATGATAACTTGATAATATTTTGATAACTCCAGGATAAATACGGTCTTTCTTACCTCTTCTAATAATGTGACTAAGATTCAAAGGCTTCTGCTCTTTTGAGATCAAACAACTTGTGTATCTGAATAAAGTGTTAAACAATGCGTGACAATTTTGTTCAAAAAACAGATTGTTTTTTAAACCTCTGATTACACTGGAGCCCAATATCATGATTTAAGAATGAACTTCTGAATGTCTGAAATGAGCATAACCACTGATTGAGCAAGTTAATGATGCTTAATACTAACATATCCAAGAGCAAAAGTAACAACTTCTTCCTTCCCCCCATTTCCAATAGAGAGAAAGAACTCTAAGTACTCAAAACATGGCAAGAGTATGACTGCTTCTCATTTAAAGTAAATGATCTATTCCCCAATTAATTAATTTTAATTTTAACTGAAAAATCATACTTCATAAAAATTCCATTTTTCAATAATCAAATCTGTTAAACATTGACTGACACAATAAATTAGGCTAGTGGAGCTGCTTCTAAGACAGCTTTGATCAGAGTGACAAAACAAAACAAGTTGGTCTGAAGAACACCCAGAAAGCCTATCTTGTGATGTGCTGCATTTTTGAGAAATGAAAAAAGCAAAGAGCTCTCCAGCATGACCAGAAGGTTCTCTAAGGCTGCTAACACCAAAGAAGCAGTGGTGTGGAGAAGAGTCAGCATTTCACAACACAAAGGAAGGAATGATAACAGGAAAGGGCATATACATATATGAAAGACCCAAAAGCAAACACAAAAATCTGGATGCTTATAGGATGCATTGGGATAAATCACACAAGGATTCATGGTGAGTGTAAGGAAGACAAATCATCTTAACAACTGTATTTTGAATAGACTGGAAAAGGTTGCTGTCATTCTCAGAGGGAGACAGGTAATTAATCTGTGCAATAATACGAACTGCAAAACATCTGATTTAGAAATGCATCAGAAGAAAACATAGTAAGATTATTACTATACAAATAAATAATTACAAATTATATGCTAAATGTACTGCATTAGAAAATGGCCCAAGTATGATCAAGATTTCTGTGTATGGTGGTAACCACAGAAAATGTCACAAATGGGAAATGGTTTCCTTTGAAAGGGAAAAAATTCAGATTTTACCGTATTAGCTTTAAATTGATAGTCATTAAACTGACAGGAAGACAAACCAGTGGAACAATTGGAGGGAGACACAGAACCATTAGATGGAGGGAGAGAAGACAGATTGGGAGCAGAGAAAAGACAGAAAACCACCAGTGGCACTGTGGTAAGGGACACCAAGCAGCTCAGTGGGAGACAAACAACAGAGGAGAGACAGACAGACGCACAGCTGCCGAGGATTTCCAGTAAGGACAGACAGCAAGACAAGGGTGGAGATGGTAAAACACCAGTGAAAGTTCAGTTAAGTGGAAAATAAGGAAGGCAGTATCTCACAGGCTGAGGCATTACGGAGGGAAGCCGGTGTGACCCTACCAAAAGCTGTGTTTTCCTTTAGAAAGGTCTCTGCTGTTCCTGCTTCAAATGATTGCTATGAGAAAGCCTGCTAATGGGCTATGAATACAGTGCACTATTATGGCTAAGGTGACTGGAGAAAAATGTGCCCTACAGCTAAGTTCCAATGAGCACAGACACCTCATTAAGTGACCTCATTTTCAGAAGTGCTGAACATCCTGCAGCTCTGCCTGATCTCATTATACACTTTTTCCGAAGTGCTGGGCACTCACACTGAGGCTGACATTGCTGAGACCCCAGCACAGCCCAGGGCATGGTCAGAGATTCAGAAGGCACACGTCCCTCACCTACTTGCTCAAATGACCAACAATCCTTGGGGCCTTTCTGCCCCGTTTTCCCATCTCAGAAAATCTTAAGACAGAATTCAATGTATAAGACCATGGTTAAGTGAAATAATAGAAAAACACACTTATTTAATGCAGTGGCAAGCAGTGATTGACATCTGACCCAGTCAATTCCAGCATTAAAGCTGACAGGCAGGTTACAGACAAACCCACTGTGATCATAGAAAGATGACACTCGAACATAATGATGCATTATTATTTTAGCCCTGAGAAAATTAACCTTATAAAAAGTCAATTGCATGCAAAAAGAAAATGTATTATTACTGCTCTCAGAGAACTGCATCAGACTGGGAATGTTCTTTTCGTTCAGCATCAGATACAAATGAAATGCACAGTAGTAATACACATTAAATATTAGGCAAAAATGCAGCACAGCAACAGAAAAATGCAGTAGCTTCTATTTGACCTTTGAACATCTTTATCAGAGTTTCATACTTCAGATAGCTTGCCAGCATTCATAGTATCATAATCACATTGGAACTTACAGTGTTAACAAAACTTAAATTTATTATTGAATTACTCAAGGAACATTTCTTTGAGATGTAAAGTAGCTGGTTAGAATATATCTTTCTCTCTTTTGTTCCCATTAGAGCATGAGTTGTCTCAGGGGATGAAATAGGGAAATTCTACTGCATGTTTTAGGAAGAGCTGTCAAATTCCAAAATCCAATCTGGCTAAGAAACAAAGGGGTGACATGCAAAAATCAACACTTACTCCTTTTCTGCCAGGGAAGAAGGGCTATCACCCATTCCCTCATATTTTTTTATTTTTTTTTTTCCATTCTGCACTGTGTCAGGACCTCAAGCTTTCTCCTTTAACTCACCTATGATGAGTGTTCAGTGATGCTCCAGCGGAGAGGAAAAATTCCTATCATCGCTTTTATAAAGCAGCAAGGAAACATACCGCCTTCTGTCTCAGAATGTTTCGCAGAGTTCCTTCGTTTTACCTCCTCAGCCTCATCTCAGTCAGGCATTTTTTTATCCATGAGCTGAGCTTGAACAATATGAGCTGTCCTATTTCTGCAGGATTACTCACATGCTTAATTAGGAACCTAAGTGCTTGGCTGAAACAAAGACTTAATTTCTGACAAAAATGAGTCTCGGACACTGTGCCTTTTATTTGATGAAGGACAGAAGGCAGAGAAACTTCGTGAGGAGCTGAAGCATGGCATCAGCTGATGCTCTGTGCCTTGCCACTTTGCTTCCCACCAACACACTGCTCTTGAGTAATGCAAACAAACACTGAAGTGGCATTGACACAGGACTGACTCAGCATATGCCAATCTCAACAGGGGTAGAAGGAGGAAAAGAGAGGTTTCACATCTCTTCGGAATTCAAGCACATACGTGCCAAGGCTGGAAACCAGCAATGACTGTGCTCTTTCAGGCAAACAAGTTGCCTGCTTCTCCCAAGAAGCAGATAAGGTAAGCATGTTCTCCTCTAAGAGGTCAGTGCACTCCTGGAACAGGTTACCCACAAAGGTTGGCAGAGCCTCCACCTTGCAGCTTTTCAGGACTCAGTTATGTAAAGCCATGGCTGTTCTGCTCTAGAGACAACAATCGCCATGCTTTGAGTGGGAAGCCAGACCAGCTCACTCCAGAAGCCTGCCAACACACATTCTGTGATTCCTATATTTCTTTATTTATTACCTCAGTGATGATAAAATGGCAAAATACCATTCTCTGTAAGACTTCCAACATACGGCAGACCACAAAAAGAAATCTGTTATTGGAATGATATAAGAAATCTGTTATTTGTTGGTCTGCTTCTCAGGTATAAATCAAACCCACTGCCTAGAGACTGCTGGCTGCTAGAAATTTCCAAACATTTTCCCAGGTTCCTTCCCATTAATACAAAATTATTCTTGCCATTTGTTTTATTATCTGTGTCCCAGAGCTATCAGAAAAAATCTGAAAAAGTTTGTGACCTGTGAAATCTATGTGAAATTCTAACAGTTCTTCATAAACAAGTGAGGATCTCCAAGTGAGGAAGTGTCCATGTTTTCCAAATATAGCTGAATCAAATTTGTACACTATGTCAAAACAGTATGGTTTGAGTTCTAAAAACAGTTGCACTTGGATGAGTATTTGTCCATGGACATGTGCAACACTGATTATTTGAATACTTCTGTACAAACAGGAAGACCTGTCTTTGTTTATAAGCTAGAAGGACTGAAGCCTTGATCTTCATGTCAATAAAAGGCAACATAGTCACCTAAATTTATCCAGGACTTAAAATAAGAAATCAAAAACTTGATGCAAAGTATCTTACTAGTATGTTAGCAAACTTTCTAGGTAAAATACACTGAAAATAATTGTTAAGTAGGCAGTAAACTCAAAGTGCTAAGCATGAAATATATACATAACTTAAAATTGTCATGAAATAGGACAGCAGATGGAATCATAGATAAACACTATTGCTGGACATATAATTAATTTACCAGATCAGAATTGCTCTTGCTGAGTAAAGAACCATACATTACCTACCACTGCAAATAAAAATGTGTACTTGTGGCTAAGCAGTCTCAGCAGTAAATCTTTCTAAGTTTAAACTATTTTCTGCATTTTGGAGCTCTGCAACTTTTTCCAAGGTCATTCGTGCATGGAGTTTACACACAAATGATTTTGTCATTACCACAGTATTGGCATCCTACATATAGCAGAATAGGAAATTATATATTCATAGGCTATTCATCCATTCTGGTAGTGTTTGGTTTCTTTTTTTTCCATTTAAAAAAATGTTTCTTTGGACTACATGCAAGCTATCAAATAAAAGTAACCAAACTTTTTCACTGCATGCAGTGATCTGTCTGCTGCTCAACTGGGGCACCTAAGAGCAGATAAGTAAATGTATGTGCTTATTTCCTGACTTCTTAATGAAAACTTACTGCTAAAAAGTAAGTATCTGTCATTTAAAATGCTGGTCTTCTCAGAGTCAATGGGAGCTTTTTCACTGATTTTGATTAAGCTAGGTTCTTTTAAAAAATCACTCAACTGTCTGCTTCTTTTCAAGTACTCAGCAAAGAATTCTGGAATGGTTCAACTCTTGCTGACTTCTTAGGAGGTATCTCTTACATGCTCAAAACATTACAATAACAACAAAGTATCTAGAAAACAATATTCTGAGAAGCAAGTTCTGTAATTTAATGGCATATTCAAATTTCGGTTGAAAAAATCCCAGTCCATTCTGGGGCAGAATGTCATTCTCAGGTAACACAGAGGTGATGTCTTTGAAGTCAGCAAGGTAGTTTAATGTGCATATAAGTGAAGTCAACAAGCTTATTCTAGCCTTTAAAATTACACATGTACATGCATGTAGCCACTGTGATCATTGCCTTTTTGTAGCTGCATTTTGGTAATGGCACTGTACTGAATTTGCTACAATAAAAGAGATGAATTCTGCTTAGGATAGTTCTGTATGAAGAAACAAAAAGAATAAAACAACTCTCTATACCCAAAGCTACACTCTTATTAAAGTTCCAGGAAGGGTTTAAAATAAAAAAATCAAATTTAAAGGCCATCCTTAATAAGGGATTTAAAAGCCAATATTTTGTCTTAGATCTGTACTACTCTATTAGAAAATACATTTGGAACAAAGCAAATGAGCATAAAATATGCACTTCTGCACTGCACTCTATGTAAATGATTTTTCTAAAGGCAGACAGGAAGGTTCAAAGAGCTGATAATGCTGTCTCCAACTTCTAAACCACCACTTCAAAAATCAGCTTCTATTGCTAAGGATCAAAAATATTATTATCTTAAAGTGATTTGGTGACCCATATAAAAAGACAAGTATTCTCAAGCCTGACCTTTAGTAAACACACAAAACATTAACCTCTACCTCTGAAATCCTTCCTGAAAATCTCAGCAGAGAAACCATGAAACCCAGGAGCTGCACACTTGTAAGGCAATGGAGGGAATCTGGCACACATAATCCTGCTGCCCTTGCTCCATGGAAATCCATGAAAGTTCAGGTTTTGCTGCTGTCCCATACAATAATTTGTACATGTATCTAGTACATTTATGTCTTTCTTTCAAACAAAAAAAAAAAAAGAGAAAAGACCTAACAGTGATTGACACCTTGGTAAGGCACAAAGATTATTCAAATTGCTGGTATACTCACAGTATGATTTCCATATTGGAGGCTGGTATTCTTCAGCATCTAAAATAGAAACAAAAAGGGAGAAGGAAATCAGTCATTTGGCCACTGGGTCAAACTGTCAGCATGCATTTTCCTGCTGAGAGCCCTCTACTTGTCAGCAAAATCCACATTTCTTTCCCAAGAGAGATGAGAGCCTATTTACAGTACAGTTTTCTATGTGAGAGAAGAATACAAATTTCAACCACTTGTGGATTCAATGTGCTTTTCCCAAATTATTCAGCTGTAAAAGAAATTAATTTTTTACCCATTTGCAAAACTCACCAGTATTTTAAAAATAATTAACTGGGCTGGTAACCACATTATTTACCTGGCATGATAAACAGATAAATCAGTACTGGTTTTCAATCTGGTTTCTAACCCCACCAGTAAGATTTGAAAATGAGCATCAACGAGTAACACACGCTGGGGCTAAAAAGATGCACAGCTCAGGCTGGACTCAGAGGCACAGACCTGACAATTTCCATGAGAGTCAGCTACACTTCTTGAACCCACTAGCATATGAAATTGGTCTATTTTCCAGAAGCTGAATCAACAAAAAACAATATGAGAAAGACAGAAAAGATGAAAGACTGCAAAACCTGCCATTACAAAGAGGTTACATTATTGTAACATTATTGGCTAAAGGGGTACAAAAAGTTGGTGTCTTTTTTCACTGACCACTCCATGGGGAGGTTTCCAGCTCTCTGCAAGAAAACCAATTGCTGTAACCTACAGAAATCCCAGCAAAGCCATGCTGGAGCAGAAGGAGCAACATCAGCAACAAAGGGTGGGGTACTGGGTACTAGTTTGCCTCTGAGCTGTCATGCTGCCAAAAACTTTTATGTCATTTACCCTAGGTATGTCATTAACTTGCCAAAACCATGCAGGTTAATTAAGGTGTTTGTTATTTACAAAACCTCTACTTAAGTTATGCTAATATAATTCAATTATAGTTGCACAGTTCATGCTCCTTGTCTATTTACATAGACACAACTACTTTAAATATATCCCTGCAGAAGTCTGTTTACTAGGAATGTTAATCACTTACTACCATCTGCCACTTTTAACTCCATTGTTTTAGAAGAGGATAAATCTAGCAACAATCACAGTTACTGCCTGGAATATCACCCTGCAACAATTTGTAGATCTATCGATTGGGAAACCCATTCAGTTTCACTTTCAATCGAATCCACCTGACAACTTTGACAAAGTTCAAAACGCTCCCAGACTGACAGAGTTATACTGTGCTGTGGCAATGCAAGAGCAATTAGCTTGCAAGTTCATTATGCAGAAGACTTATTTTAAATTATGAGGCTATTCATGAGACGAATGAAATTTATTCATAAACTAATTTTTTCTCTTCTCAAATTATAATAGTATTATGTCACTCTTTCTTCACCTCATACATCTATTGCTTCACATATATAGTTTACCATAACACTATAATATTGTGTATTAAATTCTTCTGTGCTACTGCAAGAGAATTTCTTGAATTCTGAAGAATTTCCTTCTTCACTTACTATATTTTTCCAATAGAAGAAACACTGAGATAATGCAAATATCTTATTATCTGTACTTGTGACTTCAGATAAGGAGGTAATAGGGAGAGAAACAATGAAAAACCAATGAGTATTAGTTGTTGCTTTGGTCTTCCAAATTAATTAAAAAGTGCACAGTAGATTCAACAGTGAAAGCTGATGTACAAGTGGCCGTAAAGTGCTTCATTAGCTGGAGACAGACTGATGGTGAGGAAACACTGCAGCCGAGATGGAGAATCATCCAGGAGATAAATCATAAAACAAAACTCCCAGTGATTGCATTTGATTTGTCACAGTTATGAATCTGTCAGCCTCAGAAAGCGTGGACAGAACCATTCTTCAACACTAAAATAATTGTAAAAGACGGCACACTCGTAGGAAGCCCACGTGTCACCAGCTCCACATTCACCATTACGAGGTACTGCTACATCCTCTGTGATCCCTTCAGCTGAAAGCACATCCCTAAATCACAGGGAACAAAATGCCAGAGTGATGGTACTAATAGAGTTTATTGTCAAGCTATCATGCATTTGATGGCATACATTTGATTTGTAGGGAAATAAAGAATAATTAGTTTAAATACAGCTTGGAGACAAGGGTC